TGTGTGTGAGTGCATGTGTGTGTGTGTGTGTGTGTGTGTGTGTGTGTGTGTGTGTGTGTGTGTGTGTGTGTGTGTGTGTGTGTGTGTGTGAGAGGAACAGGTATAGTTGGATATGTGGTCAGTTATTGGTTGCTGTGGGGTGAGGGCTCTATGTGCGCTTGGAGAGAAAGTGCTTCAGTCATCATGCATGCTTTAACATGCTTGGCAAGCCCTTTGTGTATCTGTGTGTGTTTACATTGAGTGTGTTTGCGTGTGCATGCATGATTCTGTTCGCGGTTTGCATTCAGCCAACTAGCATTTGCTATACGGCAAGGTGCAGGAGGAGGCCAAGATCAACATCAATCGGAACGAGCTAAAATGTCCAAAAATCATGTTCTGAAATGGGGCCGTATCGTTTCAAATCTGATCTGGAAAATGTTTATGATACAAGGTTTCTTGTTGCAGCTGTGGATGAATACAGGTGTTGATTTGGAGTAATGTTTGCTGTGTGTGTGTGTGTGTGTGTGTGTGTGTGTGTGTGTGTGTGTGTGTGTGTGTGTGTGTGTGTGTGTGTGTGTGTGTGTGTGTGTGTGTGTGTGTGGGTGTGTGGTGTTGGTTCCCACTCACCAGAGCCAGAGCCTCACTGGCACTCTGTTTGGCTGCCTTCGCATCTCTCTCCGCTGCATCAACGTTTGCTTTAATGTTGCTATAGGCCTTGAAGGCAGCTGTTGCATTGAAGGAGAGGTTTTTAGCTTCAGCCAAAATACTGGGACGAGAGAGAGAGGAATAAAAAAAGAGATACAGATATCAATTTCGATAATAGTATTATTGCAATGAAACCTGAACATTTAACATTTACGCGTCATATACAGTTTGTTGTTGAACTCGTTGATTTTTAAGTTTATTCCCAATTTTCTGCAGGTATACATGTATCACACTTACAGTTTTATGTTTAAAATAATAAACGCATTTATATGTACCTATCCAAAATGGCAGCAGATTCGTTCAGCTGCTTGGCGTGTTCCTCTGCATCGTGCACGTGATTGGCCAGGCTGCCGCCTTTCAAACCAGTGGTGAGGTGATTGACTTTATCATCCAGCTTCACATGAAGAGGATCCAGCTCTCTGCCCATCTCCTCCAAATCCTACAGGAAGCAGACGAACATTCACATCCATTGCAACATCCTTGCTTACTATTTTAATGTATTACTTTTTAAATTAAGAAATGAAAGAGACACAAGCACTACTCTAGTTTGAGTGAAGTACCTCTATCTCCTTGTTGATGTTTTCAGAAAGTTGGTTAGCTTCATCCAGAAAACCTTCTCCTTCTCCTAGGACTTCCTGTGCTTTCTGTTTCACCTCGTTCACTGCGGAAGTCTTCCTCTGAAAAAAACAAACCAGGTTCAACATCTGCAATAAACTCTGATGCGCTCCGTATGTCAGCCAACTCACAATGCAGAGTAAAGCCTTGTTTCTCCCCTCCAAAGATAAACGTACTTAGTTACTTGTCATCAGTATATCAGAGTTACCCAGTAGTGTTCACCATCAATGTCCTTGTCATCTTTAATCTGATCATATATTCACCTATTTGTCGTTGGCTTGCAACAATACAAATCAAGCATGGCAGAATTCAATTAGTAAACACGATGACAATACAGTGGCCGTGAGAGTAGAAACTATTAAGCATCAAATTAAATGTTAAAGGTCCCATGTCATGCTTTTCCGGTTATTACCCGTCCCCTTCTGTGTTATGAAGGTTTTTCTGCATGTAAACGGTCTGCAGAGTCAAAACCCTCAAAGTACACCCTGTAGCGAGTAAAACTCTAACACAGAAAAGACCTCCCCAAAACGCCTCGTTGGAGATACGTCACTGTCCATTTCATTCTTCCGGGTACCGCATGATGTCATGCGTTACCCGGAACCAAATGGACCAACCGTGGAGCCGTTACATTACGTCCGCGGAGCCGTTACGTTAAGCCCCCGCTGATTGGTCCAAATTGACCAATCCACGGACTTCCTCACACACACACTCAGTGCATGCAGCTCTGCTGATCTCTCCTCCCTGGCTGCAGGCTGATAACAGACAGTTGGGATCGCGGCGAAATTCTCTCTGCAGACCCATTCTCACAGCGTTTATCAACCTTTTTCTTACTCAATATCAAGCCACACTTATTGTTTTTACTTCGGCTGTGACTTTGTGTGTGCTCAGGCTGAGTTTGGCTGTGTTTTGCTGTCGCTAAACAAGGAAACCACACCTCCAAGGAGCTTAGCGCGATTCACAACGTCCCGACCAATCAGAGCACACTGTGCTCACAGGGAGGGTGGGGGCTGGAGCTATTGGAGCTACAACGAGCCGTTAAAGGCAGAGAGTGAAATTCAGTGAATACACGTGGTTTACAGAGATGCTGTATGAGAAACCAAAGTGAGTTTGGAAAATTGCACAATATAAATCTATTCTAGTAGACCTCAACAATGGAATTATGATCAGTGGAAATGGCCATGACATGGGACCTTTAAGAGAACATTCTTCATGTTTATTTAAGTGTTTACCATTCCCACGGTAAGACAAAACAAAAAGAAATACCATCTTAGTTTTCTAAAAAAAACTAAAAGTTTTCTAAAAAACTGTTAACTTACGTGTGTCAATGTATATATTTTTTTCTTTGAGGGGGTCTGCCTCCAAAAAACAGTTGTAAGTCCTGAGAAAGTCAAATGAGACGGTGTGTAAAAACTAC